CGAGGTATAGCGTTTTCAGTGAGACATATAGCAGTACTTGCTGCTACAACAGCTATTTGTAACTGTGGTATGTTCTGGGTTGATTGCCAGCTGAGAACACAAAGAAGAGTTTTAGGGAGCAAACGTGACACTTTTAAGGTGGAATGAAACGGCAGAAAAGACCACCACAACTTCACGAGGACAATGATGGCGTATGCTTGCAATCCGATTGAGAAATGCATTGCTATCTTGGGAATCGGTTGTAACAGTAACGGAAATGGCTTCCTATTATCGTCTGGAGGACAAACTGAAGGTGCTATCTAAATGCACGGACATTTTAAATATCAGCTGTCACTAGTGTCCCTTCAGGTCATTTTGGCAACGACCACTGTGACACTCCGGACAAATTACTCGTTAGTCCACAGTATTTATACCTTCGCTGGATGTAATGTCAACAATTGCAGGCAGAGTAATAGCCCTGACGAGTCCACTGCTTCTGCATCAGTGCCGTGGAACAAAGTTCTGTTGTGCCATTGTTGGGCTGTTATGGCCATATATTTAGGTTGATTCTGTAGAATGGTTGTGTAGAGTAGCAATAAGGAGACTACGTGGACGACAACGAGAATGAGACTCCAGACTTGGATTTCCTGATATACGCCTCAGGATGGTGTCATTGCAACTGTGTCGTTCTGTATAGTGTTATAGTTAGACGACATGGTGGCAGTTTTCATTAACTTGAAATCGCATCAAGTCGATTTTTTTCAGATCGAGGGAAATATGTCGAGCTATTTGGAGTTCGAGACCAGCGGAGTAGTGAAAGTGGCTTAACACTGGTGTCATCACTGATTTTCAGTGATTCATTAATATTATTTTCAATGCAATTTTTCATTCAAGCCAAGTGGATTCTGTATCGACGGATAATCGAGACTGGTTATTCTCTGGCGTTGACGTTTTATATCAAATTAATTATATACTTTGTGTCACATGACACAGTATCTACACCATACGGCATCGGGATGCCACTCATGCATTTTACTATACATTGTATACTTACTTTATATACATCGAATTTGAAGTACAACTTTAACGGTTTTAAACGAAACAAGAAATGAAATGATCGAAAATATTCAATTTCAAGGTTTAACGTGAGCAGATAGACACACCATGATATTTTCCACGAATTTCAGACGTCAGAGAAAGCATCGTGTTACTATGACAGTTTTGTTTTTACAAAATGAGGTTTCAAAGATCATTCAGGAACATGAGTATGATTTGTTTGTTGTTTAACGTCGCACTCAGCAGTATTCCAGCTATATCACGACACTCTGTAAATAATCGAGTCTGGATCAGACAATCTAGTGATTGACATCATGAGCATCGATCTACACAATTGGGATGCGATGACATGCATCAACCAAGTCAGCGAGCCTGACCACCCGATCCCGTTAGTCGCCTCTTACGACAAGCATGGTCGCCTTTTACGGCAAGCATGGGTTGCTGACGACCTATTCTACCCCGGATCTTCACGGGTCTCCTGAGTATGAAAGGCACAAGGGTTTAAGGGATGTTTTTGTTGTTGCACAAAAATACATTTTCTCGCTTCACTAAATCAAATGTTCTGCAAATATATGTTATTTGCTGAGGTCGAATCACATGATCATCCCCCAATGTGTTTATGGCAATGTGTACATTTCTACTTTGAAAGTTCTTGACAAAACATATCCTGACAAAAGAGAACAAAGAAGACGTTTGACATTGTAATCCAATTCAGTCAAACCGGAATTATCTAAACACTGTGCCAGCCTTTGAAGCATCCCCACTCTTTCCTTGACAAGGATGCTGCAGACGGGATTACGGCATTGAGAGCCATTAAACTGAAAGGTCAAACCGACAGAGTTTCAAATACGTATCTGTGTCACCAACATGGACGAATCTCTGTAAATCCATACCCGTAGTATTCAGGAACGTAAAAAAATCTTTTATTTGCCTTAAAGTGTGGTTCTAAGGCGCATTGGTGTTACACTTGCAGTATCAACACTAACACCACCTTCCCTGTGTGGACACCTCTGTCGCGAACTCCTGGAGTCACTCCTGATTTTCAGTGTACATTCATATAATTTTCACTGCTTTTTTGCCCTTTAAGCTACATTGAATCTGTTTCGGCGGATAATCTAAACTGACTTTTCTCCTGTATTGGCGTTTTACATTAAACAAAAGTATTCAAGTAATTATTTTGATAAAAAATAATAAATAATGACACAGCTTACATACATACTACTCTTTTGATAGGGGTATTTAATATATTTTTATGATACACACAAATGATTCTCATAATGTCAAATGTATATTTAAATATCTGATTGTTATCTTATTTTAAAAGTTGAGAAGTGTATACTCGATGCTAGAAATGTCCACAAATAAAGTTTCTGGGTGAACAAGATTTTGTTTAATTGGTGGTATCGTTTACCCATGCGATGGGTTAGTTTATAGCTGTGTCTTCATAATGCATAGATTCCGTGTGCAATCCATGCTTTAGCGATGCGACAGTCGTACAATTAAAAAATAATTTAACAGTGTCCGGCTTCGCAGGCGTGCCTTTTTGTAAGATAAGGATAAGTTTAAAAGTACACAGGTGATTTTCAGCAGCTGTCATGGAAACGGAATAAAATTGCTTAAAGAAACTTTGGAAATAAGGAAACACATTGGAATTGCTCCGAAGCACCGTATTTCGCCGGATAGGTCGAACACGCGACTCCCAGTTGCCATAAAAATGACAATGAACAAGTTACATCTTACAGCAAACTGCTCTTAAGGGGATGGTATTGCAGCGCTGAGATGTAATAGTTTTTCGGTATGGCGGGCGTGGATACTGCATTGAAGATATCGTGATATGTTTTCTCCTGGTAAAACGGTGGCGGAACACTCGTGTGTCGCGCTTCATTACATATGTAATCACATATGCGTGTGTTCACGCTAATGTATGTACACAGAAATGCTGTAAATCAAGCCACACGCTCTCTCGGTTGTAACGCACAGATATTAGCCTTTGGAAAAAGTATGTAATATCCCAAGTGTGAGAGCGCCATCGCAACCATTGAATACGCTTCGAGTTATCCGTAGTACGAGACAAAAGAGTATGGACGTTACAACAGTGCCGATTACGATCCTGTAAGGGTTTTACAGATACATGGTCCTGAACGATATATCGAGATATTGAACTTCGAGTTAACGGGTTTTCACTGTAAATATATGTGACAATGCTTGAATCCTTGTCCACTGACGGAACACCTTTATTTAGTGGGGTTTTCGTATACCGCATCTATATAGCATGTATCGCTACGATTGTTCTTTTATTTAGAATTATATTTCAGGTAATGTAATGGGGATTCAAACTCGAGTCTTCGGCAAGACAGGCGAACATTGTCACCACTAGGCTACCCACGTGAGTTTTCTTCTTTCTAACAGACCATATACCTGATGTGCACAGTTGTAACTGATAATATGGAAGATGATGCGAGTAAATTTTCATATATGCTGTCAGATAAAACACAGACCCGAGAATTACAACAAAGATTATGCTTAATGAAATTGTAAGATTGGATTCTGCGCGGTCATGAAGTAATCAACTGCTTCACTTAAACATATGCTGGAAGTAAAGATTATATACCACCCTTGCATGAATAATAAATACCGGTAGTCGTCACCAGAGAATATCCAGTCTCATTATCTGCCGAAACAGATTATATTGGACGTTAAAGGCAAAATAGGAAAGAATATAATGGATCACTGAAAAAATATACCATTTCTTTCATTGACCGTTATTAACAATATCTCTAAATTTAGTTTGTCTGTCTACCATTAAACTCCTCGTAATCCAACACACCGGCATTCTCCCCTTTGTACACCTTAAAACAACCTCCCTGCTACAAGCTAAACGAACGATGGCCGCCTCTGACTTGTTCTAATCAGAGTATGAAACTGCAGCGACAGCTCATTATACGATCACTAAACGTACCACTTCAGTCATTAACCCTGAATCGAATCTTTATCTTTAGCCTCAACTAGCTTCACTACTACATTCACTTTAAGTAACGACCCTAAACTAGGACAAAAAACTACTTTATGAAATTTGCTCATTATTGAAGGAGTAAAATAATAATCGAAGTTTCTATTTTATTTGTTATGCTTTCTTAAAAAGGTAGCCAGCGTACAGTGCAGCCTTTATTGACTGTTTAATAGAGTCGTTGCTTGTAAATTGCCAAGTGATTAAATTAGAGGCAAAACCTCCCGTTAACAGAGCGAAGAAAGATCTCCCATCATTTAACGTTTATCGCTTTTCGGTTACATTTCACGTGTCCGTCTTCATGGGTAATGGGCAAAGTCCTGGTAATTTGTGATGACTATCTTAGTCTCTTGACTGGAGACTATCAACCTGTCTTGGCCTTCCCGTCCCCACGCTATGTCCTGCACGTGGATCCAGGCGCTATGCTATCTGAATGGCTGATAGAATTGTAACGGGACACCATTCATTTATGCTATCAAATGCTCTCATTATAGATAATGTGAAAAAAGTGGAAATCTAGTTTCCGATTTACTGTCGAAAAGGGTTTTATATTAACTATGCTGTATATATTTTATAAATTCTAGTTTTCAAGTCGTTTATTTGCGAGTTTCCTCTGACCTAATTTCAGGGGAAAAAATCTTGTTAAAACATTTCTGACATGAAAGGTCACGCAAGCCGAAAATTGACGTCATTATTTTGACAGCTATGAGACAATGAATTCGTTGTTTCGTAAAGAAATGAGTCAGAGTTGAATTGCGATAGACCTGAGAAATGTTTACCACAGGGCTACCGAATACCTCATGCTCGGGTTTGAAAACATCAAAGCCACGCAACAAAGTAAACATATGCATAACACTGATAAACTTCTTATTTCACAAAAAAACGAGTAAAAAACAACAGACATTACGAGTAACTTGAACAGCATGAGTGAAAAAGTTAAAAGTTGAAAAAAACTCACCCTTCCGATTTAACAGTTTCCTTCAACTTGACTGGGCACGCTTTTTCCGTGGCGTTACCTGCTGCGGTAGCTAAAGGTAAAATGAGCAGAATACCTAAAAGTTTGATAAGTACTCGTAGATCAACGTGAGCCATTCTCTGCACTTGCTCGTACGACCAGTTCTCCGTAATCAGTTAAGGAAGTTGGACCTTGGAGATGGTCTTCCAGCAACTAGTTCACAGTCTTAGCTTTCGGCGAGATACCGTCAAAGGCTTCGTTCATTGGCCGTTTCTTTCTTGCTAGTTATGCGGGATTTTATGTCTACTCACACTCGCTTCAAGCCAGATTTAATCCACTTCTATGCATTCAGACTGCTAAACAGTTGATCAAGTCATTTTTACAACATGTTGCACGAATGGAAAAAAAATAATAAAATTTTCAGAACACTCTTCTGTGCATGAAGTGGTCTTTCTGAAAGTTCAAGCGTAAAATCGAAGGTTGTAATGTAGGACTCCTGTCGGATTTACTGTTGTGCTATTGAACTTAGACGTGCATCTATCTAGGTTAACGGCAATCACATAGGTCGAACATGACACTTTGGCTTCGGATCGGGTACAGGTATCAGAACGTCCCTTGAGCGTATCATATGATCCGAACGTTCATGCCCTACTCCCAGAGAAAGTCGTATCGGTGAATCATCCATTTACAGTTTCACATAGAACTGTGAATTGGCCCCACTCTTCTAATACGACACTCTTGCGTTAAGGGTATATCCTTCGTTGATAATGACGAGCACTTGTTTCTCAGTGGTAGTCTTTGTTCAGACGGTTAACAACACTGCTGACAAGTCAATTAACAGAGTCCCATCATTTCGGAGAGAACTGACACCTGATGCACGCTGGACAGTGGTCAGTGGAACCCGGCGGTCTGTTTGATGTTGCGTTAATGGCAGAGTTCCTGGTGAGTGATGTTCCGTTCCGCCCCTCTGTCCTCCAAAACGACACCCGCTCGCCTTGTCGCCACTGTTGTAGCATTACACCAATCAATTCTTAATTCATTCACTGTCGCGCGGGCCAATCAATTCCCATACTAATTATTCCCGTGGCATTCTGAACTACGAGAGAAAGGCTTGCTAGAACGATATGTTCTACAAGGAAAAAGGGAAGTTTTACATCACAGTCTCGATTTATAACAAGCAGAGTAAGAGGACTCTAATCTAGAGATACTGTTTCTCTTATATTCACGTCGACCAGGACGAACTCGCGGGGCGGTGGTAGAGAGAACGCTCTCTTGTGATGGCAACAAACGATTTGCTTGTGAAAAACACACTCCCCGCTGGGACGAGGAACTTGTGCTGTTGGATAGCAGTTGGCAATATTACTGGTTCCCTTTCCACCTTTAGTTCTATACACCCCCCGGCATAGCTCCTCTTGTGATTCTACAATACAAGAATGCACTAAGCGATACCTTAAACCACATTTAACCTTGTACTGCATTTTCATTAAGAGCTAAATAATTAATTTTTATTGTCACATACGTTGAAGACTAATGATGGTTTGTGATGTTCATTGATATAGAATTACATTCGTGATCCTCTTAAACATTTGCTTCTTCTGTAGTGGTACAGGAAATCATCAAATATTGAAATTAAAAAATGCATTAGGATATTTATAATATTTTCTGAGTAAGTTTAGCATTCGTCATCTTGTAGAAAGGACGCTCCTCGCGGTGTTTCAACGTAGGTTAACATTGGCACGAAACACCATTGTAACCTTATGAAATTTAACATTGATTGAGAACACATGGGTCTCGAAGTTTATATTGTGAATCAGATTTATAGTGACGTTTGCTCCTATGGTCAGCGGGGCGGTGGGGTACGTAGCCTAGTGGTTAAAGCGTTCGCTCGTCACGCCGAAGACATGGGTACAATGTGTGAAGCCCATTTCTGGTGTCCCCCGCCGTGCTATTGCTGGAATATTGCTAAAAGCGGCGTAAAATCATACTCACTCACTCCTATGGTCCGCTTACCGGTAAGACAACACTTGATGGCGTTGAATATCTGTCTTTGCAATATACGTATGTGTCATCGGACCAGGTATTAGTTTTGATGACCATTGTGATACATTAGATGAACAATCTGGACAGGAAGGTGAAAAAACCCTTAAACTTATATGACATTACACTATTTGTTTTTGTTCTGAAAAAAATGTTATCTCAATAGGTTTCTATGTCTGCTTTTTCGGGCTAGTCAGCCTTAAAGTTCAAGATGTGGATCGATGCTCATGATGTCAATCACTGGATTATCTGGTCCATACCTGATTATTTACAGATCGCTGTCATATAGCTGGAAAATTGCTGAGTGCGGCGTTAAACAACAAACAAACAAAACAGTTCAAGGTAGTGTATGCACATATTGTGAACATGTTTGCAGTCGGCATTATAAAAAAGAAAGAGCTTTTGTTTTATTCCACAACACAGTAAACTACGGTTATAACGAACTCAAAGGGACCACAAATTTTAGTTCGTTAAAACCGTAGGTCGTTATAAGAATATATGAAGCATATATACAGCAAAATGCCAGGGACCAAAACTATGCTCGTTATATCCGTCAGTTCGTTATAAGCGGGTATGTTATAAACGTAGTTTACTGTACATTGTTTAGTATAGGTACCTAAAAAAGATGTTTAGTATAGGTACCTAAAAAAGATGTTAACTCAGGGATTCAGATTTGGAAACGGTACGATTGTATCGAACAATACATAAGAAAATAAAGATGTATTGAATCAAAGATAAATATCAAATGACACGTGATGGTAAATCGGACTTTCTTTGACAATCTTACAGGCAAGACAACACTAGTTTGAGGTGTTGATGTCTGCCCGCTCAAGCACACAGCCTCTTGGTGTTTAGCATGGTCAAACATACATTGTAGGTGAGGTGAGGTGAAATTGGGTTTAACGTCGCGTCTAAGATTATTGCACTTATATAGCGGCGTGCATGCACGTGTGTATGTGTGTGTGTGCTTGTGCTAGTCCGGACTGATGCCGATTTATAGTGCTAGCTCACTGAGATACCATGCCGCACTTTAACATGAATACTCCACTCAGACACAGAATACTGATTCCGAGCCGACCAGTCCTTGTTTTAGCCCCTTTATGCCGAGCGTCAGATAGGGTAACAAGAAGTACCATCTTTTAACGTCTTTTGGTATGACGCGGTCGGGGATCGAACCCCGGACCTTCCGCTCTCCGGGCGGACGCTCTACCGCTAGACCACGGAGGCGGTCCACATACATTGTAATTTCATGGTGTATGAAAATAGGAACAAATCGCATCTGCTTTCATTGATCGGCTTACGGCTGTTACTTTTACTAGTAAATAAAAGCGACACAACCCTTTCTATAAGAAAGCCCACCCTTAAGGCTGTATAATAAACTGTCAGCTCAGTTCAGTTAATTTCTCAGAAAAAAACACCAACTGTGGTACATGAGAAACATTATGATATAAATTCATAATATAATAAAAATATCAATATCAAGATGACAGGAGAATTATGCAAATACACGTAGGGATCAAAGATTACAGACAGTTTATTTAGGCATCAAGGCCCATAGCACAATGCAGATTTGATATTAACATTTGTCACGTGATGTACATGTTAGATTTTAAATCTAGTTACACATTTCTCATTATAAAGACATGTTTTAAGAATACAGAAACAGCATGGATCATATCACGATTTTCAGAGTTTAGCAGATTTATCATTAACTGACGGTCTTTAAAAATACCTTACAACATTGGGAGAAATGAATACCTTAAAAGGGAATACGGATCAAAGGTTACAATGAAATATGATAAAAATAAAGTAACAAGAATCTCATACACGTTTTCTAACAGCTTAAAAATGTCTAAAGATGGTATTGATGAATCTGGACAAGTTTTTCCTATCAAGAGGCTGTAAACGCAAGGCAATGACGATTCCAGCTCGAGACTATTGCCCAGAACCACTCGTATACCGAGTATGTTCGAATTGTTTTATGCCATGTACACGTATTTAGGGGGAGACACACACAGAGAATGTAAATTAGCGAGTGATTGTGACTTTGTCTCCGCGTTGAAGAGTATTTTTGTGATATCGCAGCGTGTCAGCTTGATGTGGGGAAATGCCTGAGGTGATGGTGTTAGACGTTCACCACTTTGGTGAAGCTCACAAGCACAGGTACAGACTGGTGTGTTAGAAACAAGAACCGAATTTGATTAATTGTTTCAAGTCTTCATTGCATCGTGGCCGTAACATCTATGTGTTAAACTAACACCAGCATTAATTATGTATATCTACATGATGTTATTGTGTTTAGGAAGAAAGAGCGTTTATCAGAACAGTATGATCAGGTTTGTGCGGGCTGTGTGGTATATAGCGTTTGGGTCAAAAGTCTCTCCGTTACTCGGTATTCTCTTGGTACAATCTCCGTTACTCTGTATTCTCTTGGTATAATGGGCTCTCTGTTACTCTGTATTCTCTTGGGGGGCGGTCGGGTAGCCTAGTGGTTAAAGCGTTCGCTCGGCACGCCGAAGACCCGGGTTCGATTCCCGACATGGGTACAATGTGTGAAGCCCATTTCTCTTGTCCCCCGCTGTGATATTTCTGGAATATTACTAAAAGCGGCGTAAAACCATACTCACTCACTCACTGTATTCTCTTGGTATAATGAGCTCTCCGTTACACGGTATTCTCTAGGTATAATGATCTCTCCGTTACACGGTATTCCCTAGGTATAATGATCTCTCCGTTACACGGTATTCTCTTGGTATAATGAGCTCTCTGTTACTCTGTATTCTCTTGGTATAATGATCTCTCCGTTACACGGTATTCCCTAGGTATAATGAGCTCTCCGTTACACGGTATTCTCTTGGTATAATGAGCTCTCCGTTACTCGGTATTCTCTAGGTATAATGATCTCTCCGTTACACGGTATTCCCTAGGTATAATGACCTCTCCGTTAGTCGTCGGTATTCTCTTGGTATAATGAGCTCTCCGTTACACGGTATTCCCTAGGTATAATGAGCTCCCCGTTACTCGGTATTCCCTAGGTATAATGAGCTCTCCGTTACATGGTATTCCCTTGGTATAATGACCTCTCCGTTACTCGGTATTCTCTAGGTGTAATGAGCTGTCCGTTACTCGGTATTCTCTTGGTATAATGAGCTCTCCGTTACACGGTATTCCCTAGGTATAATGAGCTCTCCGTTACTCGGTATTCTCTTGGTATAATGAGCTCTCCGTTACACGGTATTCCCTAGGTATAATGAGCTCCCCGTTACTCGGTATTCCCTAGGTATAATGAGCTCTCCGTTACATGGTATTCCCTTGGTATAATGACCTCTCCGTTACTCGGTATTCTCTAGGTGTAATGAGCTGTCCGTTACTCGGTATTCTCTTGGTTTAATGAGTTCTCCGTTACACGGTATTCCCTAGGTATAATGAGCTCTCCGTTACTCGGTATTCTCTTGGTATAATGAGCTCTCCTTTACACGGTATTCCCTAGGTATACTTAGCTCTCCGTTACTCGGTATTCTCTTGGTATAATGAGATCTCCGTTACACGGTATTCCCTAGGTATAATGAGCTCCCCGTTACTCGGTATTCCCTAGGTATAATGAGCTCTCCGTTACATGGTATTCCCTTGGTATAATGACCTCTCCGTTACTCGGTATTCTCTAGGTGTAATGAGCTGTCCGTTACTCGGTATTCTCTTGGTATAATGAGCTCTCCGTTACACGGTATTCCCTAGGTATAATGAGCTCCCCGTTACTCGGTATTCTCTTGGTATAATGAGCTCTCCTTTACACGGTATTCCCTAGGTATACTTAGCTCTCCGTTACTCGGTATTCTCTTGGTATAATGAGATCTCCGTTACACGGTATTCCCTAGGTATAAAGACCTCTCCGTTACTCGGTATTCTCTTGGTATAATGAGCTCTCCATTACACGGTATTCTCTAGGTTTAATGACCTCTCTGGTCCGTTACACGGT